GGATTCGATAGGGAAGAAGGTGCGAGTCGTTGGTGACATGGCTGTCCGCCTGGGTCTCCAAAACGTGAGGGTGCGGCACACTCGGGTGGAAGAAGTCCGCGAGAGATTCAATTTCGTTACGGGCCGCTCCGTGACGGCCATGCCTCGCTTCGTCGGCTGGGTGAAGGACAAGCTTCATGCAGCACCTTCCGCGCCTTTAAAAGGGGTTCCAGACGATGGTATCTTGTATATCAAGGGCGGTGTCAGCGACGAGACCCAGGAAGAAGACTTAGGCGGGTGGATGCCGACGGCGAGATATCCAATCGGCGAGTTGATTGGCGGGGACGTCTACGGTGGGGACAAGAGCGTCCTACATTTCTCTGTGCAGGACTTACGCCGCGGACCCGATGCGAATGCAAAAGGGCGGGGTGGAAACGTTCGTAGATAAGAGCTGGTTGAGAAGCGTGGAAGGAACGTAACCAAGGAGTCGTTGCTAGCCCAAGTACCCGAGCATCGGCATCACCTATCGTTTTCTTAGTTTGTATATCTTTGCTCTACACAATTATCTAACAGCCGCACGTACTCTGCGCATCGAAAGTTATATTTGTCGCGCTCTGCACAGTCCTCTTTCTCCCCGTCTATGTCACATTAAATGCGTAGACAAAGCCTGTCAGGAAGGAACCCGCGATACCAGCGTTGGGCCCTAACTCCACCTGCCATGAGCGGGTAAGCCTCCTCGCCCTCCGCCGAACCACTCCGTTATCGCCCCACACAGACCCACCGATCCGGCGGGCGTCGCCCTCGATCTTCTCCCAGTCCACGGCTACGTACCCGAGCTCCTCGGCGACCTTCATGGACACCAGCACGAAGCCACACGCAAAACTTAACAATCTCCCAAATCTTTTGGCTGCATAGCCTGCTGCCATGCCTCCAAGTCCACTCAGACCCATATCACTGGCCAAGCAGCTGACCTGCCTTGAGAGCCCCCTATTCCCGTTACTTACACCCCAAACGTCTGTCAAACCTCCACCGTCGCCTCCCCCAATAAAAGCCCTCCTTTCCACAATGCGAATCGGTCTCTCTACACCTTTTTTGACAGAACTTGCGCACGTGGACGCAGAAATCATCCCGTTTCTGGCTCGCAGTGCTGACCTGGTAGACAAAGACGCCGGTCCAGAACAATAATTGCCGTCCCACTTCGTCTTTATCAAACCTTCGCGATGCTGCTGCTGCTGCTCCACAAAGGTCTTCAGAAGTCGTGCAGGGGAGACAGCATCTGCGATCAGGTCGGTGGACCGCGCCATCAACAGAGCGAAACCCCAGAGAGTTATCAGCGTGCTGAGCCGTGCCGGGGTTCTCACTCGTCGCGGCCTTCTTGCAGGAGACATCTCGGAACTCGAGAAGACTTTTGTCGCCTCCAGAGCCTGAAGCTTTAAAGAAGTAAGAAGAAAAAATTCAACATTGGGGACCGTCATGGTGTTTAGGGCAGGTGGAGGAAGCCACTCCTGAGCTCCGCGTGGGTGGGTGGGCATCATCGCTCCTCCGAACCCAGCGATCGTGCCAGCCTATCCTCCCACGACAACGGGACTAATGTATTTCAAACCCTTTACTAGGAACTCCAAACACCGGCAAATATCGGTGTAGCATCAAATGCAGCATGAAAACATTCTCAAGAATGTGTCAGGGGAAGAAAAGGGGGAGCAAAGTCAATTTATGGTGGCTATCGAGGTCGAGAAGAAGGTGGGCACGTTAACCTCCCCTGTCCTCCCGTTGTCATAAATCTTGCTCTTTATCGTTCTCAATCATGCAATATGTTCGAAAAACAATTCATAGACAAATGCCGGAACTCTTGTTAGATGCAGTGTAGCCTTTGGTGCGACCTCTTTGTGCCTAGTAGGCGTGGGAAGACCGCGCTTTTCAAAGCATGGCTCCTTTGGTAAGGTTGACAGCACATGAGAGGACAAGTAGGTGTCCGGATGGATCTAGGTATGCCTGTTTACATCTAAAACGTAACCTTGAAAGTGAATTGGTCATGCGTTTTTACTAGCGCTTCTTTCCCTAAACTTCGAAGGGAGTCACCACTACTTGCCCACAAGGTCATTCACAAGCTGGCAAGCTCTACGACAATTTGCTGACAATCAAAAATTCCACGTGATCGGCGTCAGCTCAAGCAGCGCGTGCCGAACGACTTCGGTAAGCTTGCGGCCCTTTGAAGGCTCTACCATATTTGTCTCGCCAACCAGAGGTAAGACGCTGACAACGGAACAGCTTCAGGCTTGCCACTTTCTGGTTCATGTGCGCGTTGCTGGTGGACCCGCAGCTGATGCAGCGTTCAGCACATTGGGCGGAGGATTAACGCTGGACACAGATGTAGCTTTGTCGATTGTTTTGCATCATTTTACAGCTTGGAGCAGGTACAACACCCACAGGTAGGACACACCAAATCTAGACCTTGCTTTACTGTGGTGCCTCTCTTCCCTAGTAAACGTTTTCGACGCATAGAAACTCGACAAGTAATTGTACATTGCTTGCACATGCCGTAGGTTTTGTGGGCAGAAGTACGTGAAGGGACAGGCAAGAAAGGTGGGACAATTTGAGGACGAGGAGCAACAGCGACTGCGCAACGAGCGGAGACAGCAACGACTCAAGGCCGACATATTATCACAGCCGGAAACCGAGTCAACAGAAGTCACAAACACAGAAGAAGTGAATCAGGAGGCGGAGGAGGAAGTCTCAATATGGTCCGGGTTCTGGGGCAAGGGGGCTTTAGCTGAGAAGTGACTAGCAAGAATAAGAGACGGCTCGAGGACTCCAGGTAATCGAAATATTGTACAGCCTTTATAATGTTGTCCGTTACATTTTCTTCATACTCTCTGGTCCATCAATGGTTGTCCCGGCAAAAAACTGTCCGGTAAACGGCGTCTCCTCTAGAGAGCGTCAGCACCTCCCGTTCAGTCGGCACCTTGAGTGGGTTTTCCTCCATCCACGCGCCGGACGTGCTCGCGTCTGCGACGAGAGTGGACTCTTTGAAAGCATCACGCATGGAGACTGCGACCTCCTCCACGTCCGACTGGATGAAGATCTCCCCTCCATCGGACTTTAGGCTACTGCACATGCAAGCGACGAGGGCGGGTTGTATGACACGTCGCTTTTTATGCTTGGCCTTGAAGTGGGGATCTGGAAATTGTACACTGTCTGGGATGCCAGTGGAGGACATGCTAATTAGAAGAAAGGTGTAATTCAGCTGATCCTGGTTGCAATGCGACGTCATTCCGTATTGTGACTATTAAAGGAAGGCGTCACCACCAGAGAGACTGACAGTGGGACGTCCATGAAAGGACAGGCATACTTGATATTCCTCCACGACCAACTCCGCTGCCTACTTACATCGCACAATCTCGCTGTGCTTTCGCACATCCGCTACAATCCGCTCCAGATCAACATTGACGTTCAGCGCTAAAAAGTGCACGTTGTCCTTGACCCTGTATTTCTCCATTTTCTTGAAGGACTCCTCCACGCAGGGGCGACGAATTTCCAGTCCCAAAAAATTCATGTCAGGGTGTTCTCTTGCCATATATATACAAAATCGGCCTCGAGCCGAGCCAATGTCGATATGAAACGGGAGACTGGGGTTCGCAAAAGCGTCCTCGACCCATTTCGCAGATATATTCGCAGGTCTCTGATAGAGCGAGGATAGCGGGTTGACATGCTGCCGGATGGCCCTCAATTTTTTCCTGGGAAAAGATTTAGTGGTAAGAGTTTGAAGTGGACTGAGCAACTCGTGGGATTATCAAATATTACACGATCGCGATGTCCAAAATACGGTGAAGACGACCTGGAGCACCACTCACTTTGCACCAGCACGAGATGACAGTGTCTTGTTTTGCTCTGACCGCATCCCGCCATTTTCAATCGAGTCCTCCGCGCACAAGGCCTCATTACCGTCCTGTAATGCGTGTATGTCGGTGTATTCCTTCTTGCCGCCTTCCCGGTGAGGCCCTGCACACAAGCATCTACTTTTAAGCCCACCGCTAGAGAGCTGAGGTATACTGTCATGCCACAGGTACTCTTTTCGTGCTTTGACACCAGCCCGCAATAAGAAAGCCATGCCATGTAAATTACACGTAAAAAAGCAGATATAGACCCAAAAAAGGACCCGTCTGCGGATAAACCGCAAGCCTTTCGAGATTTCGCGTGGGTGCATACGACTTTGTGCACAAAGTTCAAGGCCAAGGTACCGTCAAGTGCATTGAATGATGGCCCTCAGCTGTCTTATCTATGTATATACGATAGGGATGCGAACAAAAAGGAAATGGACGCGACAAAAATGTTGAGCTTGACCAATCGAGCATATCAAATTCAAGAAAGGAGAGTCTGTTAATGGAGGGAGAAAATGGACATAAGGCTGAGAAGAAGCCCCTCGTTGCGGTAATGCGCCACGGCATAAAACATGCTCCTGAAATGGGAGCAGTAAGGACGGCTTAGCAGCTGTAGTAGGTGCCAGTACCTGCACTGTCGGCGGCGACAAGGCAAGGGCAACAGGGGCTGAAGGCTTGGAGACGAGTTGAGGATAACAAGGGATGCGCGGCCTGCACGCCGCACAAATGTCCATCATCGATCTTCCTTAACGTAGTCGGAATCCCAGACTGCTGTCGATATCAGGCATTTTGTTGTGGTTTACCTAGTGCTCCCGGCATACTCTGTGACCCCCTCATTTTCATCGAGGACCAGCTTTCCTAACTTTGATTCCTTGTAACGTCCAGGCGGCTCACGTCCAGTGCGTACCAATCCCGCGCCCCGTCCAGAGTGCGAAGCACAACGGCCGACAAAAACAAGGTGGCACGCAATATTTGGAAATGAATACAGAGGGAAATCTTGGCTTGCGTGGGGTTCGTCGCCCGCAAATTATCGGGGACGCCCTTGATGTCTTTTTCGTGCAGCTGAGGAGGCTTCTTGCCTCATGTTTTCGCATCGTTCTTAGATATACACGAGACATTGACTTTAAACTCCTTGATATTCTCACAGCATGCCATTGACATTGAAAGTCAATGGCCCGGGTGGAAAAAGTGCTATTTTAAAGGGCTTGAAGGATTCGGCAACGCTGCAGCAGCTTCAAATAAAAATCGAGGAGCTCTTGGGGGTCCCAATGGCTCAGCAGAAGCTCCGGGCGGGATTCCCCCCCAAAGACATGACATTGCAGGATTTAACAGCTGAATTGACTTCTTTAGGGATTCAGACCGGGAGCGCAATAACAGTCGTCAAAGAAGACACACAGGTTACTTCGGGTGATAAGGCTCCCATTCCTGTCACGTTGCCTGGGGCCCAGCAAATAATCGACATGGGGTTTTCTGTTGCCGTAGCATTGAAAGCTCTAGAGGTATCCCATGGGGAAGTTGAAAATGCTCTGGATCTATGCGTGAACGGTATTATCACAGATGAGTCCCTGGAACATGTTCCGACAGCGCCCCCCGTTCCGGTCACTTCGCACGGTGGGATGACCACGGCGAACAGAGTAATGGTTAGGCGTGTAATAGATGCAGACAATAGTTGTCTATTTAATGCCGTGGGTTACTGCATGGAGAAGAATCGGAGAATAGGTCCTAAGCTGCGGAAAATCATTGCAGATTGCGTGCGCAACTCGCCCGATGTGTACACAGAGGCAGTGCTCGGAAAAGCACCCAAACAGTACTCAGATTGGATTCAAGACCCTGCTCAATGGGGCGGCGAAATAGAGTTGTTCATCCTCTCGCAATATTATGGCTGCGAAGTTGTAGCAATTGAGATTAAAAGTGCACACGCTTATGTGTATGGGGAGGGGAAAAACTATTCACGCCGCATATATTTGCTGTATGATGGGGTGCACTACGATGCTTTGGCCATGGCGGCGGGATCTCCCACTGCGCCCGAGTCATTGGACATGACTCAGTTTCCTGCAGGGGACGAAAGCAGCAAGCAGGCAGCTCTGGCGGTGGCCGCCGAGTTAAAAGAGGGTCGACAATTTGTTGATCTGCTTGGCTGCACCTTGCGGTGTATGGTGTGCAATAAGGGCCTATCAGGGCAGGAGGAAGCACTGCTCCATGCTCGTGAAACGAATCATCAGAATTTTGGTGAATACAAGTCGTCATGAACATGGACACGTGATTTGCACTTGTCATACCACAAAATATGAATGCTGTACAGGAGAGAGCATCTTTCCAGCAAAATACCATGTTTGCAAGTCATAGAAAATTAAGAGCAATAAATTTAAGTATGTGATTGATATATGAACGGTTGATGTATCGGAGCATGTATTTGGCTTTTTCTTTTCTTAAAAGTATTGGTGGCATCTACTTTTGGTCCCTTGCCCTTCTTCCACCACCTACATAAATCCGCTGTCTTTAAGATTGCCACGTGTGATGATGTCTTTACACGCGTTCATGACTACCTCTACATTTTTCGTGTCTGTTGCACATGTAACATGATTGTAAATAATCTTTTCATTAGGCCTGTCATTGACACCGAGAAACAAATTCACAAAATAGTCCACACCAGCGTCAAAGTCGCCTAAGCACCCCTTGTAATCTGAAAATTGAGGTACACCCTTTATATCCTTAACCCAAATTTTTTCCGCAAAAAGATCTTTCTTGTTGAGAAAAAGAAGCATGGAAGAATTGGCAAAGAATTTGTTGTTGCAAATTTCTTTGAAAAGCTGGATAGCCTCGATCATTCTGTTTGTGGAGGAATCCTCAAACAGAACCTGGTCATATTCAGATAGGGCAGCAACAAAAATGATAGCTGTGACATTGTCGAAACAATGTATCCACTTTTTCCTCTCGTTTCGCTGTCCTCCGACATCATACATCTCAAACATGGTACCGTCAATCATGTATCGCTCCGTTACGATTCCTGATGTCCGTACGCGTGCGTATAAAATGTCATCATCGGAAGCCAGATAGTCAGGTTCTGAGATTTCATCAATTTTATTGAAGTAATACTTGACCGATTCGACGATTTGAAATTCAGAGCGCCGCGCCCAGGTCTTTTGGATCGCATCATCCTTCCACAGAGTTTTTATGGCTGATCCAATTTTTAAGTCGATATCCGTGTCTGGGATCGTGTTGATCAAGTCTATAGCATCTTGATCCAAAATCTTTACAGGTAAAAAATGAAATGAGTGGGGCGAAATTTCACCGGTAGAAGCCCTACTCGACTCCAGACACGCCTTCAACTCCAGGGCTCTCTTACCTCAGCGTCGTAGCCAAATTGCTTGCACTGCTCGAGAAGGATCCTCATCGCACAAATCGTATTAGCATACACGACAGGAGTCATCATCTTCTTGTCCTCAAGGGTAGTTCCTGCACCATAGAGCAGTTTCATTTGCTTGAAGATAGTGCTCTTTCCAGACTCCCCGGCTCCCAGAAGGAGGAGCTTTATTTTCTCTTGCTCTTTCTTAAAAGCTGCTGCGTTGGCCTGATCGACATCTTTACTTATTTTTGCGGCCTCGATATCGTCAGCGGAGATGGATCCACACAGGTTGCCCATGTTTTGCAATGTTCTACATACCCCCCCCCCCAAAATATGATAGTTGCCATAAATGAGTACCAAGATGGAGAGAGCTACGAACTAGATAATTTCCACCTTTTTCCAAATGTATCACAACATGAAACATTTCTATTGTTAGTCATGCGGTGAAGAGGAAAAATAAATGCAAAGCCGAAAAAAAGAAAATTGGGTAGCCTCGCCTTTTCTCTTCGCTCATCGGTTACAGGTTTCTTTCAATTTCCAGTCCCAAGGAAGCGTACACTTGCATATGATGGTAATCAATGAATCTTGAGTCTGCCTATTGCGAAGATACACATCAAATAGCACCGTTATTTTGCAAGCCTGATTCATGGTATCTCATCTGAATTTCATTTAATTTTGTGTGTGAAGCTCAAGTACATCTTGTACCTCCTGTCAGATATAAAGGGAAGAATCCGGTGCAAAACATAGTAATGGCTTCGCTCACATCCCCCCACAACACGTTGCTCGCGGCCTACTGAAGAGTTGTGGACGTCTCTTATTTGCTCTCAAACAGACTGTGAGATTTATGCCGTCTATTAATATTGTAAATTACCGATATGACCCCTTCCACCCAAACTCTCCGATTTTCCACCCAACCCTACAACGTATCTTCAACTTTGAATTAAAGAAAAAATCAATCAATCTGTGAGAGGTTCAAATAGGTGCAAAGGACAATTAATTTATTCACATGCTTCTTCGATCTTCTTGAAGGGATTTTACGTAATGATTGGAAGGGGGTATTTGAAGGCTTAGTTGTTAGGTTGCAAAACCGGTCTCGTTAAGGATGCTTCCTGCTTGAATGGACGATGGAACAGAATCATTCGCATATTAAAGTGAGAGTCTCCTTGGTCTTTGTTGTGAGAACAGTCTTCCACCATTACAAAGTCACTAGCACAACTTACTTACGAGCACTTGGTCTTTTGGGGCCTCGTGGCCTGGTCTCTGTAAGCAAAGGATGATGCAGCACATCAGAATGATCAACATACTCTTTGCAGCCTCGCGAACATGACATCAAGGACTGAATAGTAACATTTGGGTCAGTCGCTTCAACGATGCGATCGAATATATTATAACCACCCAATGCCTCAATCAGGGTACTCTTCGCGGCTGAAAAGGTGAATTTTTGTTTAATAGACGCGGTCTGTGGACAGTAAAAGACGAACACGTGCTGCGAATCCTGTTGCGTGAAAACAAGGAAGCGCGGCTCGTCAAGAGGAAGTAAAGACGACAAGTGTACTGCCGACTCTTGCAAATTGTCATCATGTCTTTCCATATCCCTTTCGAATGGCACTGTGCGGACCGCGATCACGATAAATTTCTCTTCCTTCAAAGCAAGTTCCATCCAATTTTCTGGCTTTCCCGTCTCCAGTACTCGAACAAGAGCTTCACGCACGTCTGAGCGCATCGTAAAAGGCACATGACTCATACCATGCAACCGTACGCCTACGTTTCGCGCCACCGCTCGTTCCGTGGGAGCCAACTCCCCATACAGTGATGTAGACAGGAGAGGACTTTCAACTCCGTCGTCTATCGGAGCCGTAGCGATCGCGTTCCCCCGCTCTGTTGCACGCCAACACGCCAGAGTTCCAGTCAAGTTGAGAAAAGACATATCCTCGAGCTCGTGCGTCTCAAATAATGAGAAGTGGATGGCCAAACCACGCCTGAGATCAGCGACGGAAGAGGAGTATAGCATCTTTTCCCGAACAGGGCATGTCAAGGGCAAATACTTGATCAGTACTGGGGGATGATCGTCCATCGCGATGAGCAGGAGAGCGGCAGTGTTTGGCGCCTGCATCAATCTCTCCACTACCAAATGTTGAAAATCATCCTCCTCGCTACCTATTTTTTTAATGGGGGGCTCTGCGAGGACCAAGCACTCGGCTTCGATCTTGATGTGGAGAAGCCTGGTTGATGTGACGGTGTGGAGCGGCTGACAGGCAGCGAGAAGGCCATCCGAGACGCTCAGGTGCGCACGCATCCTGATCGCGGGCCTTTAAGAGGAGAAAAGTGTGATCATACCATCCAATTGCAGTTCGGAAAGCTAGGAAAATAGAGAGCACGCCGAGTAAGCGATGCCCCCCCCTGTTCCAGCAGCCACGCAACCTGTCTCGTGGGATTGATTGTCCCCCACCTTGGCTGCCCTCCTCGCCGCCACCGACGCGATGGGGGAGCCTTCGCCCCTCGAAGAATACCACGCATGACGGGCAGTGTGGCGCACGGGAACGCGAGCCACCGTTTTTTCAGCTACCTTGACTGCGATCTCGCAATCTCATGTCTCCTTACATGTTGCGGATACGGGTCTGCATTCTATTTGCAGTCTTGAGCGCGGTGGTGTAAGAGCCGACTCGCTCCACCTTTTTTCTTAGATATCAAGCATGGAGACACTACACACATGTGCACCAACTCACGTGACGAGCATAGTATCAGACATGCTTGAGAACGATCCACATACATGCACAATGTTGCCGTGTTGTGTGTACTGCGGAGAAGATATGGAAACCCAAAATTAGTAGCAGTCTTATACGCCGGTTTTAAAGGAGGAAACGAAGGGGAGGGAAATCGATACGGCTGTGGCACGACAAGATTCTTTTTACCGAGAACGTTTATAACTTCCTCACATTCTCCTCAACTTAAGCAATTATCTATTTTCACAGAATCATATCGACGCGCCCGCTCGAAGTCTATGTCCACATCGACATCACCCGGCCGTCTGAAACATGAAGCAGCAGGGACGACTACACCACCAAACAAAGGTGCCGGAGCATCAAAACTAGCCTCTACGGAAGCACCCAGGAGCATCACTACGGCGAATGGACACCATGCTGCTCAGTTGAGCATTGACACCTGTCCAAGAAGCGGGAGCGAGGGCGGAGGCTTTGGCGGCGAGAATTCTCCTTCTCCGTTGCCCCCGCCCCCGGTGCCCCAGTCGTCGCCCTTGCCGCCCACTGGCAAGGCCGGTGCCGGCGCAGGATGTAGCAGCGTTGGAAGCGTGAGTGCGTCCGCTGCGCAGCCCACCTCGTCCTCCCTTTCCGGACACCAGGCAGCGCCGGGTCAAGGGCCCGGGCAGTCGGTCAGTGGTCATACGCCCGTCCCTGATGGTGGCGCGGAGGATATTGTAAGCAATGCGCCTGTGAGCAGCGTGACCACGGCAGGGGTCGTCGGACAAGGAGAAGCCGGCATGCGGGGAGGGGGTTGCGGGAACGGGCGGCTTGGGACTGCGCCTTTGAGGCGAGGCGGGCACGGGGAAGCTGCGGGGGACTTTACCTCGCCGAGGCCTCTGCACCCCGGCAGCCATCAGGGTGCGCCAATGCCTTCTTTGCCCACGCGGGTGTCTTCCGCTCCGCCGGCCGAGAACGTACAGGTGTACGAGAGCACGCAGGGCTACTACCAGCACGCAATGAACAGTAAGCAGGCATTTCCCCAGCGGCGTCAGCACGGCTCCGTTCACCCGGCGTCTTCAGCGATGCGGTCCCCCTACGCCATTGCTCAGCACCACCAGCAATATCAATCACCGTCCGCATTGCCACCCCCGCCTTCCAAAGGCCAGGAGGAGGGTGCTCCGTCCCAACGAGGGCAGAGCAATGTGGGTGCCAAGGGGCTGGCGTCTTCCCAGGCGTCGACTCCCTCCTCCTCCCCCTTGACCACCCTGAGGGGCACAGGCTCGCCCAAGCAACACCCTCCTCAGCACCCTCCGCCCCCATTGCCTTCACATCAGCATCAGCATC